TGTAGGGAATATATGTGTAATCCCAATGAAGCTGGGTCAGAAAGGAAGATGCCTGCAGTTCTGTGAAATCTAAGAGCCATTCTGGCCCCATAATGATGGAAATGAAACACTGATAAGGACAGGAATAACACTTACTTTAGATAAGTCCCTAATCTTATTTATGAGCTGTTTTTCTATCTACCCAAGAAAGAGGACTTTTCTTCGGTAAATAAGGGTAAGGTAACCCACCACTAACTAGTACATCAAATTATACTTCTCCATCTTCTAAGACTAAGTTTAAGGTCTGGAGCTGAAAATTCAAGTGTCCATAAGGGGTCAGGTTTGAAACAGGCTGGTAGGGACAACAGCAATCTATGGCTGGTCCACTCAGTTTCTGCTCTTTGTAGAACCAATTTTATTATTTCTCCCCCTTTTTTTTTTTCTTTTAAAGAAAAGCTGAAAGCTGGGTTTTTATGTGAAATCCTCTGGCTTTTAATGGTTGGTTACTGATGAAAAAATTTAAACATCAGGCAAGCCAAAATCATAAATTTACCAGCCACATCTGGCCCTTGAGTTAAGAAGTTTACAATCATAATTCAATGACCTAGAAAACCTACTTCTATTAAAACTGAAGGAAGAGATTTTTCTAAGCAAAACAAGGGTGAGGAAAAAGTTCAACTCCAAAGAAAGTGGCAATGATAAAAGGCCAAACTTCATTGTCCTCTTCCCTGGTGTTCTAGAAGCAAGCGGTGTGCTCAGAACCCTGTAGCCAGACAAGAGTCAAGAATCTTGATCTGAGGGGATGGTTAGCGCATGAACAGTCCAGCACCCTTGGATGCTTTTCCCAGCAAGAAAAACTTTTCTGGTTTATTCCCTTGCAAAACAGAACACCAATCAAATTATGGGCATTCTAACTCCTTCATACCGAAGCTGGGTGTGGGAAAAAGAGTGCATTCTCACCCCGCTAATGACTTCAAGAGCAAACTCTGCATACAAGCTTCAGTCTCTATTTTTATTTATTTATTCATTCATTCATTCATTCATTCATTCATTTATTATGCCTACAGCACCTGGTATTGCTAGGTGGTCTCCCATCCAAGTACTAACCAGGCCCGACTCTGCTTAGCTTCAGAGATCAGACGAGATCGGGCACGTTCAGGGTGGCATGGCCGTAGACATAGACTCTATTTTTGCTTAAATTATATTTAATCAGCAATACTAGCTCACACATTGATTTATGTAGTTAACAAGCTCAGAAAACTTTATTGAAGGTAATCTGTCTGTACAGTGAAGTGAGTCAGAGCCAAGGATACTGGGTTCCACGAACAGAAGGGAAAGATGAGGAACCGCTGCAAAATGAACTGCCAATGCTTATGTCACTGTTAGCGGCAAAACCTGGGCTAGAATGCAAGTCTCTGGGTCTAGTAGTAGAAGCAGCTGGTGAAAAACATGAATTTTCCTGTCAAACCTCTGCTGCATACCTGCTATGGGATCTCAGGCAACTCATCTAACCTCCCTAAGTTTTTCTTTCTATGCATGGATATAACAGTACCCATATATTAAAAGGCTGGTACATGAGATAAGGCAAGTAAAAGCATGCCTGACATGTAAACACTTGACTGTTAGCTGAACATTCTCTCCCAATGAATGATAAAGCAAGCAGTAAAATGTTAACAACTGGAGAATCTAGGTGAAGGCTATTTGGGAATTCTTTGTATTATTCTTACAACTTTTCTACAGGTATAGAATTATTTCAAAATAAAAAGTAAAATATATATTCTCTATTTTGACTCAATTATCCCTTTTCCCACAACTGTCAATCATAAACTGGTTAACTCATCCCTTTACCAGGAAAAATCCTTTATAGCTATTTATATTTATACATACAGCAAATTTTGGTAGGAACAGAATATCAGTAACCCATCTCATTCAAGCCAATTATCATCCCCCAAGCCCGAGGGCAGCTCAGAAATTTAAGCAACTTAAACCAGTAAATGGCAGAGTTAGAATTTGAACCCCGGTCTTCTGATTCCAGTTTTACTTCCCTTATACTGCATCTCAGGAAGAGAACTAGTAAGCCTTATTTATGAAGGCTGATGGAATAAGAGCAACTAAAAAAAGCAGTTCAGTTTTCCTTACTGATTAGGTAGGAAACTCTTTCTGCGTGACCCACAAAGCCTCTTGGAGTAAAGTGAGAACAAGAGGTTTCTCAATACTGTAGTTCTATTTATACTTCCTAAAGATCCTTCCCTTAGGGTAGGAGATGGAGCCCACTTAATTACCCGAATTTGCACTTGCTATTATCATATTTTACTGTATATACTAGACGGTGGATTTCAATACATTGTGTTTCTATTAGTGAGAATGAAGGAATCTTTGGGAAATTTTCCAAACTATACACACATTCCCCCTGACCTTGGTTAATGAGAACCACTGCTTTATTTTTAGTCTGAAAGTTTCTGTCACCCTAAACACATAGTTGACTCTTGAACAACATGGGTGTGAACTACGTGGGTCCACTTTATATGCAGATTTTTTCAATAAATTCTATGAATGTATTTTCTCGTCCTTATGTTTTTCTTAATAACATTTTTCTCTAGCTTACTTTATTGTAAAAATACAGAATATAATACATATAGCATACAAAACATGTATTAATCAACTATGTCATCAGTAAGGCTTCCAGTTAACAACAGGGTATTAGCAGTTAAATTTTGGAGGAGTCAGAAGTCATACATGGATTTTCGACTGTACAAGAGGTTGCTGCCGCTAACTTCCACATTGTTTAAGGGTTAACTGTAGTTTCTCTTTACTGCCACCAACACTTGAAGTTGCAAAGAAGCTTAAAATGTAGATGCATTTTAGAGAGGTAAGGCATGTTAACTGCGGAAGTAGGTTTGTTATACATTGATCAATATGGGCCTAAGCAACACTGCACGTAACAATATGAAGTCTGCTAGTACTGAGACAGAACTTTTGGAAAACCTAATAGATACCAAGTCCACAGTAAGGAAAGTCTTAGTTTGAGCTTCCTCCCTCTCCAACAGATTACCATGGATGGAATGGCTTTCATTTTTGCATCTCTTGTTTTTTAACAATACACTCAAACGGTCTCACTCAGGCAAAGAAAATGCTACTCCTCCAATGGTGAGACTACCTGCCTCCAGATCTTTCTTGCACATTTACATACTGTTCACCAGAAACGAAAAATGCTTCTTGGGTATAGCCCTGAGAGACAGTGCCAGAATTATGAAAGGGCTCCTGGCTCTTTATCTCAAGTCCAAAACCAATTCACTATGGACTACTGAGCCATTTGTACCATCTAAAAGCAATGACCCAAAGACACACTAATGGATGGCTAAGTCTCTGGACACTCACAATAAAGTCTGTCCTGACATTAACTATGGGATTATGAGTAAAATGATTTGGGTTATTCCTCAACTGTAAAATGTAATTTCCAACACTGACATTACCTAACTCAGAGCTGAAAGGACAAAAATAAATAATAAAAATTAAAGCATTCTGAAGAGTTTGAAAGGACAAAAATAAATAATAAAAATTAAAACATTTGAGGAAATGTTTTATGCAAGCCCTGATAATTATCACTTGGAGCTGCCTAAGTGCTTTGTGAACTGTGGAGCAAGGAAGGAGAAAGAAGCTGCTCAGAGGCAGAAATACAACATAAGAGGAGATTATGAAATATGCCAAATTTCAATTCCTAAATAGTTGCTCCTGCTCTAAATAGTTGTGTGGAAAACTGAATTTCTAAAATGTAAATAATTTTAAAGATAGTAAGAGTACTCAAAAGGAATTCCAATGTGCATTTTTCAAGTGTTTGGGGGAGCATAAATTATCATCTTCTAATTTAACCATCGGGAATGTTATTACTTTTATATACCAAGTATTAAAAAAAAACTTGCTGTGTTTTAAAAAGGGGGCTTTCTCCTCTTAGATATGAGACAACATAGGTAGAGACTAAATTTTAATGATACCTGTTAGTAAATGTCCAGGACTTCCAGAGCATGCACTCAAAGCCCATTTATCATCTCCCTAAAGCACTGAGATCACAGGGTGGAGGAGAATGTGAGCACAAAGGTGATGCGGTTCGCCTTCATCCCTATGCTCCTATGCCAGCTTCAGTCAAGAGCAAACCAGCTGGACAGGGTTCCCAATGCCAAAGAACTTGTAGTCCAAGAACAAGACAAACAAAAAACAAACTTGTCAACTTCCCATTTATGATCCAAACCTAAGAGGCCTGAGGGCTATAAAGGTACCAAGGGTCACTGTGTTTTCCTTACTGTCACTATCCCTCAGCCAGGAAGTCTTTTTGGGAAGTGAGATCTAAGGAAACAATAAAGAGAGGGGCATGGGGGCTGGCACACAAAATGTGGAACCCTATCGGTAATGCAATAATCATTTAGCAAAAATAAAAATTATTCACTAGGACTTTCAGTATTCTTCTTTCTAGGATATAAAGAGCCGCACTGAGGCTGAGGTAGAGCAGGAATAGTGATTACTCCTCACCTTCAGTTTCTCTACCCCTGACTTGTTCTGGGCAGGATGACAGCTCAATTAGCTCTAATTAAGCACAAGTTCTATATAGCAACGTCTTACTTAAATGGCTGGATCTGAGCCATGTGAATTCAAGTGTAAAACATACCTCTTAAAACCACC